TGTAATTGGAGATAATAGTTATGTATGGGTTCCAGGCTTGATTTTTGAGGCCCGGTACCACCGAATAATCCTTAATTATTATGCGTCTCAATTTCAACATTTTTAGAATTTTGTTAACTTAATAAATTAAATTATAAATTTTTGTAATTGGAGATAATAGTTATGTATGGGTTCCAGGCTTGATATTTGAGGCCCGGTACCACCGAATAATCCTTAATTATTATGCGTCTCAATTTCAACATTTTTAAAATTTTGTTAACTTAATAAATTAAATTATAATTTTTTGTAATTGGAGATAATAGTTATGTATGGGTTCCATGCTTGCTTTTTGAGGCTCGGTAACCGAATAATCCTTAATTATTATGCGTCTCAATTTCAATATTTTTAGAATTTTGTTAGCTACTGAGACTCTACGCTAAAAGGCTCTACATTTTACTACGCTAAAAGGCTCTATATTTTGCTTCGCTAAAAGATACTATATTTTACTACGCTATAAGGCTCTACAATATGAACATAACATTAACAATACAAATAAACAAAATAATTAATATTATTTAACAATACAAATTATTTATCAAATTTTAATACAAATTATATAAGAATACAAATTATTTATCAATTTTAAGCACTTTTGGTCACAAACATAACATAAATTCGGGTATATAAATCAAATATAACATAAACAATCCGGTAGCATTTTTGGTCACAAACATAACATAAATTCGGGTATCAAATAAATCAATCCGGGTATATAAAAGATACAAAATTAAACACAAACATAACATAAATTCACATGGAAACATGCTAAACAATACTAATATGCATGACTATACGAGTTTTTGCATAAACTAAATTGAAATACCTCGATGTAAATTTTTTGAATATTGTTGAAATTGAATTTTTGCACTCGAAACACGGTATCCAAAGCATTTTGTGTATGTGGGACCTACACGCCTTGCTCTTTATGGGACGAGTGGGCCCGACTTTTTTTTTTTTTAAATAAAACGGGGGGTGGGGGACAGAAAGGAGCTTGAGTTTGTTTTTTAATGGAGGGGGGCTGGAATGTCGGGGAAGATGAAGAAGAGCCTTATTTAATTAAGGCAATTTGCAGTATAGTACTGCGAATTGACTTTATTAAATAAGGCTGGGCCCAACTATTCCATTAAACGTTGTGTTTTTGTTAAAAAAATAAAAAAAAACTACTTCGCAGTATCATACTGCGAATTGTTTTAACGGCAAAATTTTCGTTAACTCGATTCGCAGTATAGTACTGCGAAATACTCATTTTTGTGAATTTTTTTTAAAACATTAAAAACGTACTTTGTGTCTAAAAAACCATTAATTAAGTTTCGGACTCGATTGGAGATAGTTTTATTTGAAGCCATAAGTATAATTTCACCCAACATATATTTGCAGTCGATATCCTCATCATTTTTGGAACAATATCTCCTTTGATATCCTTACCTAGTTACCTTTTTTAGACGTCGTTACCAATGTAATCCTATTAGTTTTAATCATACTAGGTACCGAAATCCTAGATGTTAGCCATATAATTCTATGTACTATCAATTGTTTCCAAATATATCACAACTTATGCCTCTCTCGATTACATAAACATGTGAATATAGATGCAACAATTAAATTATCCAAAAATGCTTCAATACATAAAACTAGAGTTAATCCACAAAGAATCATCAATAAAACAAATCCATCAAATCTTAAAGAGAACTACTCCATAGACATGGAGTAATTCATCACAAATAAGTTTGAAGTATAGAAAAATATAAAACGATCCAAACTCGTGTCTTGAGGGAGGATTGAATGATGAATTCCTTGTGCTTTTGCTCCTCCAACTCCTCCTTAGCTTCCTTAGGTCAAATATGTGTCAAAAGTCACAAAATATCATTTTTCCATATATTTATACCAAGTAGGGCCGGGTCCAGACGAAACCCCCTTCTCCTAGCCAAATTTGGATTTTGGCTCTGTAAAAATTGCACAGGCGCGCCGCATGGGGCAACGCGCTAGGCGGGGCAGCAATGGAGTTTATCAAGGAGCTAGCAATTTGTCAAGGCAGCAAAAATGGACAGCCGCGTGGAGATTTCTCAGAGCCTATTTTTTTGCTTGATTTTTGAAGTCCAGACATGGTTCTCGACCCCTGAACGCGTTCCCGGTATAGTCCTTTGGGCTTTTACTCAGACTTCAAAGCTCCAACTAGATCGAATTAGCTCCATAACATCTACATCACTCGGAATCACTCCTACAAGACATAAAATACACAATTAGTACAAAACACTAGCGATTAAAGCTCAAGCACAATAAAAGTGCAGTGAAATAGAGTGCAATAAGCGACTAAAATACGAAATTATAGCCTACCATCAATATCCCACACTTAACCATTACTCGTCCTCGAGCAATCAAACTACACTTTATCAAGGCACGACCTTATTTCAAGCACTCTCCTAACTCATTATACCAAGAATTTTTAAAATAGACTAAATACAATGGTGTAACATCCTCGCCTTAAGATTTGACTCACAAGTACCATGCATTATTCACAACTCACTCACTTTCTCTAACATAGAGGTCAATGATATTATCTTTCCTTCATGAATCAAGTGCCCTCACACAACAATAGAGAGTAGTTCCAAACACAATAAAGTCTAAGAACAATTAGGAACCCAAGATAGAAAGAATTCGCTCACTAACAGAAACAACATTCATATGCCACAAAAGATGCACCATAGGCTTGCCCGTAGCGTACTGTACTACTCTACTAATTGAGCTCATTCAGTCAAGGATCAAGTAGGACTTTAGTGGTTGTAATGTAGGTTGCGGTACGGGTAGGATACATTTAGATATAAGAGTGACTACACCTCCCTAAGCACTTTAATACATACATTTTACCTTTCAAAACCCCACACTTATATCAAACCATAACTCCACCTTCACATCAATATACATTAACTCCCTACTTCTATAAGCACAATTACATTAAGATTTACCACTATCATCGAATATTTGCACAGCAATACAACTATATTTCTCTTTTCTTATTCAATTCAAGTGGATCTTACTTTTTCAAAACATTGCACCTTTCTCCTTATTTCAATAGTCCCACTCAAAAGCTGTAACGACCCGGCTGGTCGTTGATCGCTGCCAACTCCGCACTACTAAAAAGTAGCAAGAGAGGGTCGCAATAGCTTTTACCCAATCTTGGGTCGGGATCGATATCCATAGAGAGCTAGAAATTGGAATCGAGTATCTATCTAGTTTAGGATTGTTTATGTGTTCCAAATTACACTTCTATTCATTTTTGGGGTTTTTGTTTACTTCTACTTTATCAAACTATAAATGGTAATTGCAACTAAATTATGCTAAGAGTTATAATGCTACGAGTTGTTCAAATAGGTAAAAAAGGCACTAGGGTAGTGACTTCCGCATAGGTGGTCAATTGACAGGTACTTGAATCTAAGGCACATTTGATACATTTGGGGAGTATGTTATTATCGTTGCACGACTTTACCCACTCTACACCTCTCGGTGGTTCGAGTGATTTTGCCCAAATTGGCTTTCTCAAGACCAATTGGGTATGCAAACTTGCACAAGCAACTAGGGTTCAATTCGGGTATTACTCTCTCGAGGTTTAACCCTTTAATTGAGGCTATCAATCTCTTGAGTACGCCCCAACTCACTGTTGGATCAATTTCGGAGACTTAGGCTCTCTTTCTCAAGAAGAGCTCAAGTCAACTCAACACAAACTAGTGTTTGCAACCACTAATCCAGAAATTGGCCCAAATAACAAACACCCATAGTCAAATTAGCCCTAAAATACAAGACCCATCAATTACCCATACTGGGGTTGATCCACAACCCTAGCTATGGGGTCTAGCTACTCATATTCAACGAAGAAAAACAAGAAATAGAAGAAGATAAACACATATTAATTAATTGCTAAGCTAAATACAAAGATTCAGTGATGAAAAGTAAGTAAAAATGCCCAAAATGGATAAGAAAAGTCGACCCACGAGCGCAGCTAATGTAATATAATATTTGATACCTTAAAAATGGAAAAAGAATCTATTTATACTAAGCTAAAAAATCGGGAAAAATTTCCCCTGCGGGGTTAGTGCGGACTGCACAAAATGGACCGCGGACCGCACTGGGCTCTTGACTTCAAAATCTCCCTCTCTGAACTTGGGCTCCGCGGACCGCACAGAATGAACTGCGGCCGCGGAGGCTTCTAGTGCGGTCCGCACAGAATGGACTGCGGACCGCACAGGCTTCAAAACTCCATTCTGCATCTTCTCTGAACCTTGGCTCTGCGGACTGCAAAGAATGGTAGTGCGGCCGCATTGCCTTCAGTGCGGACCGCACTGCCTTAATGCCTGAAATACCAGCTCTCTGAATCTCCCAGTGCGGACCGCACAAAGTGTACTGCGGCCGCACTGGGCCTGTTTTGCCTGAGCTTGCCTTGCCTTTGTCACTTGTGCAAGTTTCTATCCTT